TTTGTACGAACAAAAGTAAGAGAAATTTAGGATAAAAATACGAACATGTTCCTGCATGAGGCCCAATGTGCCTGGAAATAACACAGCTTTAATAAAATAACACACCTGCTCCAGCTGTTTGTAGGCTTTTATGGCATTCGCCTCCCGCTCTGAATTTGAAGTCTTCTCTGTTTTTTTCAGGATGTTCTGCACGAGAATAAACAGGAAAAAAAGGATTGGTGAAACAAAATCCTAATCAGTGGCGTAGTACTATAGTTTAGCATTTTATTTTTCTATTTGCACCACTTACAATATCTTAGATTACTAGACTGAATTGCCTGAGTTCTGATTGACACTGACAGACTCACCTGTACAAGCAGCTTCAGCTTTGTGATCCTTTGGAAAGGAAGGATGAGGAAAGAGTTGAAGGACAGGCCTTTGACACGTGGATGTCTTTCCAGAGCAGCCATGGTCTCCCGAAATGTTTGATTTTCTTCTCTAGAAGAGTTACGACAAGACAACACAAAGATCACAAGATCTAAGATCCAAACGTATTCCACGTCTGAAAACAAAAACAAGCCACAGAAACACAGACATCCTTTACATCAGGATGATTTTACTCAGAGGGCTGAGTCGGTCCAACCATGACAGCCCCACACATCCTGAGCCTTCAGCAGGTCAGAGAACACCTCATCCACTCCTGCTCCTACAGGCCCTGTCACACAACTTATGCCAACTTATTAAACATTTTTATGTCTAAATTGCTAATAAACATTATACATTTGATCAATTTGTTTGAATTACATTATGTACATGCTGAAAAAAAACCTTCCTGTTGATTTTTTCAATTCCATCTTCAATCTAGACGTCTTTAAAATGTTCATAAGTTGGCATGAGTTGTACAGTGTGACAGGGTTTTTAGGAGCTCGTCCTCAGACTGGACCTCCTCAGTGCTGAAAGTGTTGACTGAACTATATCACCATTTGTATCATATTTGCTTCGCAGGATTCTACGACCTATATTTTATCAATGTGATCAATATTTTCCTCAAAAACCTGTTGTTTATCATGTGAGACTTGTATTCTGCCCTCTAGTGGATTAACAATGTACTGCAGGAAGTGGAACTTCTTATTTTTTCTGCCTTTTCAAAATGTCTGCTGACATGAGGCCATCCACACATTTTTATCAGGAAAACTTTTGCTAATTTTGGAGAAGTTATGGTAAGAATAACATCAATATTGTTTATATTTTTTAATAAATATTTTCTGTGTTGAAACGATGCATAATTACTTAAAAATATTTTTTAATAGTACAGTTAAACCGTGTTAAAATCTGTGTATCAAACTTGATACTGCAGGTTCTCCAGTCCTGAATGTAATGTGACATTTTAGTAATTTTATTAATTTAATCAACAGTATTCTTGCCACAATACAACACACACTATTTTGGATGATTGATTATTTACTGAAATGCATTTGAAAACACATTTTGGCTATTTTCAAAGTGGTTCCTCTGAAATTATAATCTCTACGCTGTACTAAATAAATATTTACATGTTACATGTCAAAGACAATTGAGGAAGAAGAGAGAAAAAAGAAAGTAAGAAAATGTCATCAATATGATAAAAGATGGCAATTTTTTTATAAAGGCTGTGTCCAAAACGGCAGGACGGGTCCTCCGAAGGTCGAATTTGTCGGCCGCATACGTCACAGCGCCGCGA